ATTTCGGCTCAGGTCATGATCTCACGGTTCATGAGTTTGAGTCCCATGTCAGTCTCTGTGCTGGTAGCATGGAGCCTGCTTGGGATTCTTTCTCTGCCCCTTCCCAGCTCATGCTCTCTCTCTCTCTCTCTCAAAATAAGTAGATAAACATTAATTATTTTTAAATAATAAAGAAATGTGTACAGGATCTGTATAATGAAAATTATGAAGTGTCAATGAAAGAAATTAAAGAAGAACTAAATACTTGCAGAGTCACACTGTGGTCATGGACTGAAGACTCAACATATTAAAGATGTCAATTCTCCCCATAGTGATCTATAGGTTTAATCTAATCTTATCAAGTTTCTTTGTGGATACAGACAAGCTTATTGAAGGCCCTAGAATACCCAAAATAATTTTGAAAAAGAAAAAAAAAGAAGGAATGACCCTTCCTGATATCAAAGGTTATCACAGAGCTGCAGTAATCTAAACAGTGGTACCATCTTGAAATAAATGGAAATCAGTGGAATAGAATATAGAACCCAGAAACAGATCCAAATCAATATGCTTAATTTTTGGCCAAGAAGCAAAAGCAATTCAATGGAGGAGGGAGGGTTTCTTCAATAAATGATGCTGGAGCAATTGTACATCCAGAAATAAAACCAAAACAAAGCACAAACAAACAAAAAAAAAAACCCTTGACCTAAACCTCACACACTCAAAACTGATCATATACTTATATGTAACTGATAAATTTGATCTCATCAAAATTAAAAACTTTTGTTCTGTGACAAGACTCAGTTAAGAGAATGAAAGACATCATATACTGAGAGAAAATATGTCTAAATCACATATATGACAAAGACTTTGTGTCTAGAATATATAAATAAAACAATCCTCAAACTCAATGTTAAAACAATCTACTTAGAAAACAGGCAAACACAAGCACAATCATTTCATCAGAGAGGATACATAGAAGGCAAATAAACACATGAAAAGGTATTTAACATATTAGCTATTTAGTGAAATACAAATTTAAAGTATACTGAGGTCTATCAATGCATACCTATTAGAATGGTTAAAATAAAAAAGTGATAACCCCAAATGCTGACAAGAATACAGGAGAAACTGGATCACACATACACTGCTGCTGATAATGTAACATGGTACAGATACTCTGGGCAATACTGTGGAAGTTCTTGTCAAACTAAAAATGGACCCAGCAACTGCACTCATAGGTATTTATCCCAGGAGTTCACACAAAAACCTGCAGATGAATGTTCACAGCAGCTTTATTTATAATAGTCAAAACCTGAAAACTATAAATAAACGTTAAAAAAAAAATTAAAAAAAAAAAAGGGGGGCGCCTGGGTGGCTCAGTCGGTTGAGCGGCCGACTTCAGCTCAGGTCATGATCTTGCGGCCTGTGAGTTCGAGCCCCGCGTCAGGCTCTGTGCTGACAGCTCAGAGCCTGGAGCCTGTTTCAGATTCTGTGTCTCCCTCTCTCTGACCCTCCCCCCTTCATGCTCTGTCTTTCTCTGTCTCAAAAATAAATAAACGTTAAAAAAAAAATTAAAAAAAAAAAAAAAAAAGAAAACTACCCAAATGTCTTTCATTGGGTCAGTGGCTACACAAATTGTGGTACATACATATTATGGACTGCTGCTTGCCAATAAGAAGGAAGAACTATAATACATGAAACAAGTTGGATGAACTCCAAGGATATATGCTAAGTGAAAAAAGCCAATCTCTAAAGTTTGGACACACAGTGCATGATTCTGTTTATGTTACATTCATGAACTAACATGATTACAGAGATGGAGAACACATTAGCAGTTGCCAGGGACTAGGTTTGGCTATAAAGGAGTAACAACATGGAATCCTGTGGGGATGATATAGTTGAGTATCTTTTTTTTTATTAACTTGTTTTTTTATTTTTTTAAATTTACATCCAAATTAGTTAGCATATAGTGCAACAATGATTTCAGGAGTAGATTCCTTAGTGCCCCTTACCCATTTAGCCCATCCCCCCTCCCACAACCCCTACAGTAACCTTCAGTTTGTTCTCCACATTTATGAATCTCTTCCGTTTTGTCCTCCTGCCTGTTTTTATATTATTTTTGTTTCCCTTCCCTTATGGTCATCTGTTTTGTCTCTTAAAGTCCTCATATGAGTGAAGTCATATGATTTTTGTCTTTCTCTGACTAGTTTCACTTAGCATAATACCCTCTAGTTCCATCCACGTAGTTGGATGGCAAGATTGCATTCTTTTTGATTGCCGAGTAATACTCCATTGTATATATATATACCACATCTTCTTTATCCTTTCATCCATCGATGGGCATTTGGGCTCTTTCCATACTTTGGCTATTGTTGATAGTGCTGTGATAAACCTGAGGGTGCATGTGTCCCTTCGAAACAGCACACCTGTATCCCGTGGATAAATGCCTAGAAGTGAAACTGCTGAGTCGTAGGGTAGTTCTATTTTTAGTTTTTTGAGGAACCTCCATACTGTTTTCCAGAGTGGCTGCAGCAGCTTGCATTCCCATATAGTTGAGTATCTTGACTGAAGTATCTAACACTAATGTATTATCCTGTGAATTTACAATTAGCCAAAATAAAATGTTGAAAGAAATTCAATGGCAGCTAACACCAATTAGCAGACTGTCTTGATTAATATTCCAATGTATACAGCTTTCCAGAGACAACATACTTCAAATTTGTACTAAAAAAGTTTCTTCCCAAATAAGCTACAATTCTGCTGCCATTTTATTACTATTATTTGATTACAACAACAGCAAGGTCAATTCCTTTATAAATATTGCACCTTTTGACTCTTCTGACCGTAATTTAATCCACTAGTTACCACTAAAATGTGTTCTGTGGGTTTTGGTCATCAATGAGCTGTCTATTTGTAAAACATGCATTCCAAATTTTTTTCTGATAGTAATGTTTATGTAAGTTGATTAATATAATTTTATTTTACTTAATCCTGCTTTAACCCAAACACATACATTCATATGAACATTACCTGTGGCTGTGGAATACAATGTGGCCCCAGTTAACATATATAGATCTGATGATGATCTATAACTTTCAAACTCCCATGATTTTTCAGAGAACTAATTTTTAGGTTCTAATACTGATCAAATTTGTTTAAAATGTCTGTGCCATAAATATAACTAAACATGTGAGTGGGCAAGAAAGCACATGCCACTTATTTGGTTCAAAGTAACCTTTAGTAAATTGGAAAAAATATATATTTATTTTTCCTAAAGCAAATGAAGAAGGTTACATACAAGTTAGAATTAACATCAAGTTAAAAGGCACCGGCGTGGCTCAATCAATTAAGTATTTGACTTCAGCTCAAGTCATGATCTCACGGTTCATGGGTTTGAGCCCCTAATCAGTCTCTGTGCTGGCAGCTCAGAGCCTGGAGCCTGCTTCAGATCCTGTGTCTCCTTCTCTCTACCCCTCCCCACTCACGTGGTCTCTCTCTCTCTCAAAAATAAAGAAACATTAAGAAAAATTAAAAAAAAATATCAAATGCCAATATAGTACTGATTAAGAGCCAATACAGACACTATGTGTGTTTTTTTTTTCACATTTAAGAAAAAGTAAAATAAATGTTTAGAATTTAGGACAGAAACTAGATCAGACAGAGGAAAGGTTAAATGAGGAAAATAAAATTAATTTTAAATAATTATTCTAAAAACAACACAGATTTATATGGTCCTGAAAAAAGGCTTAGACAGAAAAAAAAAGTTTGGACATTCTGCTGGAAAAATCTCTTAATCATAAAGGTCAACAACATAACAATGAAAGCTGTACAAATTTTACCTAAGTAAACTTTCAACTATGTTTTTAAGTTGTCAACTACTTGAGGATGGAGTAAATGAAATTTAAGTCTCTTAAGTTTACAAGCTCTCAGCTGTTCATCATCAAATGTGATAGCTATCAAAGGATTATTGCTAATGAAGAACTTATCACTATCAAGTGAAACAAGTTACCAATTAGAACACTAAATTTAGGGATGCCTGGGTGGTCAGTCATTTGAGCATGGGACTCCTGATTTCGGCTCAGGTAGATCCCAGGATTGTGGGATCGAGCTTGCTCAGCGCTGAGGTCGATTACGATTCCCTCTCTCTGTCTCTGTCCTTCCCCCTGGGCCACTCTCCCCAGCTCGTGAGCTGTCTCAAATTAAAACAACAACCCCCCAAAATCCACCGAATTTTAAAAAGTAAATAGAATTACAGATCAGAGGTTGGCAAACTATGGTCCAAGGGCCAATACTGGGTTGCCATCTGTTTTTGTCAATCAAGTTTTATTGAAACACAGCTATGCCCATTTGTTTATGTATTGTCTATTGTTGATTTTGCCTTTCAACAGTAGAGCTGAACAGTTGTGACAGACTGAATGACTCTAAAAGGCTAAGATATATACTATCTGACCCTTTACAGAAAAAGTTTGGTGATTCCTGACTTATACTAAGAAGTTCTTTAAGGCTACTCATATTACTATTTCTCAATAGTAAGAAAACCATTTCCACATCTTAGGTATATTCATTATCTGAAAGTAGCATAAGATCATATGTTGAGATGAAACTAAAAACGTAGGATGAAAATGCCATCTTTTTTTGTCAGGTAGAAATCTCAATTTTAAAAGTTGAAAATGGGGTTCCAGTCGTTAAGCATCTGACTTCGGCTCAGGTCATGATCTCACAGTTTGTGAGTTCAAGCTCTGCATTGGGAGAGCACGAGCCCTGGGTGAACACCACTTCTCTCCCTCTGCCCATGGGATTTTCTCTCTCTCTCTGCCCCTCTTACTTGTGCCTTCTCTCTCAAACAAACAAACAAACAAACAAACAAACAAACAAGTTGAAAATGGGCTCTAGTAACTCTTTAAGCTGATGCCAGTCAATGAAATGGATACCTAAGAAGGCTTTGAACAGGTAAAAGTAAAAACATGTCAAGTTAAGCAGATAATATAGGAAATATAATTATTAAAAGAGTAATTACTTACGCTGTATGTGAATGAGCTGCTTTGGCATCTTAAATTCCCCAGGATATATAGACTCATAGTAAGCAATATTACTTTCTGCCTCTGGGACTGGTATGACCATATTATCCCTCTTCTCGCCATACACCTGCTGTGCTGAAATAGCCCGCTGAAGATGGTGTTCCTAAAAGAGGAAAAAATAGGTAAGTCTATGTATTTTAAAATAGCCAACAGAACATATACTTTATGAAGAGGTTTTTATTTTAAAAATAGAAGGACTTTAGGGGCATATGGGTGGCTCAGCTGGTTAAGTGTCAGACTTCGGCTCAGGTCATGATCTCATGGTTTATGGGTTCAAGCCCCACATTGGGCTCTGTGCTGACAGCTCAGAGCCTAGAGCCTGCTTCAGATTCTGTCTCCCTCTCTCTCTGCCCTCCCCCACTCGTGCTCTCTCTCAAAAACAAACATTAAAAAAATTAAAGAAAAATAAAAAGAAGGATTTTAATAGCCTTGAAAGGATGTTGACAATACAGTTAGTGGTAAAAACATATTAAGAAGAAACAAGGTTTTGTTAAATACACTGTATACTTTCTCAATTTAAGAAAGGTATTACACTGAAATTGAGTTAAATTATACAAAAGATTCCAAAAAATTGACTAAATTGTTAAAGTTTGCATTTTATAGATGAAATTCAAAGAAAAAGGGTTAAAACATTTAAATTTGTATGAAGAAAGATATGGATAAAAAATTATTCTAATCTCCTTTTTCATAGAATGCTTCATAAATGTGGAAAAATACCTTCATATACATCAACTAATATCTTTTAAAAGAAAGACAGATTATTATCTCCATTTTTAGTTTATGAAATGGACACATTCAAACCTGGTCTTTTGTCTCTATAACCCCTTATGAATTTCCAGATCCCTTTTGAATCATAGTGGAGTGAGGACAGGGGTTGAAAGCATAGGCTTCAGAGTCTGTGACTCCTGGAAAGATACTTTAGTTTTCTAAATCTGTTTCCTACAGAAAGAGAAAAATAATCTACTTTATAGAGTTGGTTGGAGGTTTAAGTAACATAAGTGTGCCTGAAATGTTTAGTATAATGTGTGGCATATAGCATATAACAGGTACTCAAAATAAACTTTGATTTAGTCACCACACAGAAAGATTTTACCAGTTTGTGATACCACCAGCGCCATAAAAATACCTGTTCTCACCCAGCTCATGTATCATCACTGAATTTTGGTAAATGTTTCATGAAACTGATTTTTAAAAAAATATATAAAATACAAGTTTAAGGACAAAAAAAATTCCAATAGTCTGAAAACAGAGAATTCCAGTCCTCATATTCAGGTAAGATTTAAAATTCAGATAGGATTCTCCTATGCAACACACAGAGCTTTATTTCTAGGGCGCTGGTTCACTTGATATATCCTGGAGATCTTTCCACAAAGACACTTCTACTACAATTTTGCAAAAGTTGCCTTGTGTCCTACTATATGGATGCACCTGACTTATTTTACCAGACACTAATTGATAGGGAAAAAAACATTACAAAACAAAACAAAACAAAACCCTGGAAACAACCTAAGTGCCTACCTTTGTCCCTGAATGCTACAAAAATCACTCCTGTACTGTTACATACAAGACAGCTTTGTGGCTTGGTGAAAGCATCTGTAGGAAAACTGCAAATGAAAGTCCTCAAAGGACACATGGGGTTCCAACAAAATACTGCTTGCAGCATCTTAATGACTCTTTTAAATTTTAAAATCATCCATCTAGTTATTTTAGGTTAATTTCTTTATAAGGATGATTAAGTTTTTCTTAAATTTTGCTGCTGTTTGCTCATTTTCAAAAGTGCTTTTCTTTCTCGACATTTAAATAGATTATTTCTTTTCTAATATTAAGGAAATTGGCCCCAGGTAATAAATTTTCCAAGTATTTTCCTTAAATTTGACTTCTGTTTTTATTTTTTCCATGCAAGAATGTTCTGTTAAATTTATTAATCTTTTTCCTTTATGGTTTTGTCATGTTTAATAAGAGGTATAAATTGTATAGTCACAAACCAGAGTGTACACAAATTCTTTTTTATAATTCAATTTGATCTTTGATTTAGGTTCCCTACTGGCTAATTGTATCTTCTTATACTTTAGTATAGTTTGTTGTCATATCTACTGGCCCTTATCTATTGACACAGGGTGCTTCTGTAAGCTCCAGCTGGGAAGTCAGTCACATGTATACTTTTTCTATTCTCAGATTCCCTTAAATGTTGAGAAAAATTTTCTTTGACCTCTGCCCTGCATACTTATACCAAACTCAAGAAGGGAGTGGGGAAGCAAGGCACATTACTCTTAATTGCATTTTGTTCCTAATTTAGAACAGTTAATCTGTTATTGTGGAGGTGAACATGAGACATACGGTCTTTTTCTTTTTTTGTATAAGGACAGACGATGGCAAGCCACTTTTCCTAATGTCATGCATAAAATCATCTATTCCCTTTAATGATTAAAAATGTGCCAGTATTGGGATGCCTGGGTAGCTCAACATGTGACTCTTGGTTTCAGCTCAGGTCATGACCTCATGGTTTGTGGGATCAAGGCCAGCATCCAGCACCACACTGACAGTAGGAGCCTGTTTGGGATTCTCTCGCCCTCTCCCTCTCTCTGCCACTCTTCTCCACACACACCCCTCTCTCTCTCAAAATAAATAAATAAACTTAAAAAAAAGTGCCTGTATCCTAGAATAAATTTCCCTTGCACTTGGGAGTATTCCTAAACTTTTTTCCTACTCTATCCAATTGTCCCTTATGCCAGATTTAACTGATTTTAAATAGTGTAGCTTCATACTACATTTCATTATCTAGTAAGGCAACTCCTCCCTCATAATTCCTTTTTCAGAATATTCCTGGCTATCTCATTTATTTTTCTAGATGAACCATAAAGAAAATTACTTTCCAGGTGTGAAAAAGAACCCTTAAAATGTTTTGACTTTTATAGGCAATATATAGTATGCTGGTTAAGAACATGGACTTTGGCAACCAAGAGTACTCTGGATCTGAATGTTGGCTCCATGGTTTACTAGCTCTAGGTCTTTAGGACTTGAGACAAGATATTTATCCCAGCATGTTTTATTATCTCTAAGTGTGTACATTGTGCACTTACCTTATGGAATTGTGATTAAAATGCATGAAACATACTAACTATTCAACATATGGTAGCAAATATGTATCTTTCATTATTAGAAAAACTAAAGAATGTTCTATATGCTTAACAGTTACCATTTATAGTCTCTGTAGCTTGAACAGTGTCCTGTAGATTTTTCCTTATGGTTTTATCTATTTTCCATAACTATGAAACCAAATTTTTATTTATTAATATTAGAGTGAATACTTCCTGCCCTAAAAAACTTTTTTTTTTTTTTTTTTAATAAAATACTTCCCACAATTTCCTCCTATCTTTAACAGTCAAGAAACTATTTTCCCCCTAATACATGGCTTACAGGGGTAGTGTCATAATGTGTGCAAAATACTTTTGAATGGTTCGATTATAGATACATTTTATTATAGAGTAAAAAATAATACTGCAAAACTAACAAGTTTGGAATCTAGGTTGTTCAGCTTTTCTCTAAGTTTGAAAATTTTTATAATAAAAAGTTAGATGAAGAATAGGATATGAAGGACCCTAAGTGTGTAGAGTATAAAAGACTTATGGTTAAGTTCTAAGTCTTTCAAAGCATTCCTCAACAACTGGGATATAGCTAGAACTTTATATATCCCTATTTTCCCTTTCCCCATGTATGTATGAGGACTTTAAGACAGGAAGGGGACCAAACACAGGCCACTGTGGCTGGAGCATGGTGAGTGAGCGAGGAGAATAACAGATGCTGTCTGCTCGGGGGATTAGCACCAAATCATGCACAGTCATTGGTCATGTTAAGGATCTGTCCTTTTACTAAGGGCAATAGTGGCTGAAAGGTTTTAAAAGATCACCTTGGTTGCTACATAGATAATAAACCATCTTCTATAAAATGGAATATGTGCAGCCTTTAAATGGCTCAGAATAATATTTAATATGGAAAAAAAACAACTTATTAAAAAGTTGTAAAATCTTTTTACATCTTTTAAAAAGATGTAAAAACTGTATGTTCAGGATATTTGTAGTAATTAATCTTTTTTAAAATAAAAAGATATAATTGAACATAAGCACATTCAGAAAAAAGTCTAAAAGTAGATGAGCATATATATATAAAACAAATCTCTATATTCTTTTATTCCTTTCCCTGCTTTATTTTTTCACAGCACTTACCATCCTCTGACATCTCATATACCTGTTTACTATTGTCACCCCTTTCTCCCCACCCTCCTCTGCCACCCCAATCTAAGCAGCGTGAAGACAGGGATTTTTGTCTATTCTGGTCACTGTTAAACAGCCACCCTAAAACAAGAGCTGGGCACAAAGCATAGTGCTTAAATATTTGCTGAATACATATGTATATATGTATGTATGTATATATGTATGTATGTATGTATGTGTATACACATATACACATATGCACACACATGTATGCACGTGCACACACACATAAAGTTTCAAAGTATAGACACCAAAGAGTTAACAGATTATCTCTAAGTGGTACAATTTTGAAATGCTCTTTTGTACTTTGTTTCCTATATTTTCTAAAATGTAACTATAATACTTTTGGACAAAAAAATATTTGAGTACATTTCACTAAATGATTTTATAAAACACTGTTGATTTCTAAAAGACGTAATTTATTTGGTTCAGTAAAACCTTCCCCATTTAAGTTAGTTTAGTTCAAGAGTAAAATATACTTGTAGCTTTCTAGGTAAAGAAAGTATTTTTAAAACCCAAAACTATATACATCTATTTCTAGGAAACAGAACAAATTACATTACAGTAACATCACATTATAAGTGAAAATGAGATTTTTAATTTGAGTAGGAAGATGTAGAATCGTGAAACCAAGTAACAAATGAATAAATGAGAATGAGTTCTGAATTCAATTCAATAAGTTATTGAATGCCTGGACTAAATACCTAAGACAGATAATCCAATTTTCAATTACAATTTATATAGAAAGTTAGATATTCACTGAAGATAAGATCTGTCAATGAAATTTTTGAATACATCTACTTGCAGCATTAAGTAGGTCAGCTGTGTTCCA